GCCAGCGGTCGTTTTGTTTTGATGTCGTTTGATGGACATCCCGATACTACAGCAGCCTGACGCCTCTCAACGCACCAGGACTTCAGTCTTTATATTTACTGAAAATGAATAATGTTCACTCGTCCAGCCATGGAAATGCCCAACAGACGGCCGAAATAAACATGTATTTATATGTATTCTTCAGTTTGCGTAAGTTCTTGTGGTCATCAGCGGATATGAAGGTGTGTAATACATGATTTTAATTTCTTATTCAGTTATAATTAATCAATGGTGTCTGTATGTGTTCATAAGCTGTCCGAGGAGGCACTTATTCTAAATGTTTTCTACTGTTGAAACACTATCTATGGTTGGTAACTTCCCCATGGATGCGTTTTTTTTTACGTTTCTTGATTGAGATGTGGTGGTGGATGGATGGGATGAAAGGAAACATGTGCGTTTTGTACTAGTCGTCAGGTTCAACAGGGGAGACTTTTATGAAAAGGACACATTTTTATGAAAGCCTGAATCTTTTCATCCACCTAGTTTTGTGTAATATGTATTGAAAATGATTTGAAAATAAAATAATAAAAAGAAAAAGTTTTGTTTTAAATTACAATTGTGTAAAATTAGTACTTTTCTGAGGAGTTGTTTTTCAAATTTCTTTAAAAAAAATCACTATATTAATTAAAATTGTATATTAATTATTTACACACAATATTGACAATATTTTAAATGTATAAAACTGACACACATAATATAAATATGGCTTTAAATCAATTTTATAACTTGTTAATTATAATTTAAAATAATTTTGTGTAGTCGACTAAACGATAGCGCTTACTGTTTTTGCACATTTATGTTTTGCTTTATATTTTTTTACGAAGACTACATTCAAATTACTGTAACTTTAATGTTATAATATAAAAAATATATATTTTTGAAAATGGTAATCTGGAGCGGGAAACCATTTCATTTTTACCTCAGATTGCGTTCTTATTTTCTCCATTTTTGGGCGGGAAAAGAAACTCCACTTCAAAGACGAGCAAGGTGAGGTCTTACCGATGTCCCTACAATATCCATAATCTTTACATAATCAAAGTTGTCTAATTATTGTTTTGATGAATATGCTAACATAAAAAAACCTCTATGAATTATGAGTAACTTATGTTGGCTACCATAGCTATAAACTAAACCTATAATATGACATGAAACTGGTCAAAAGTCTATCATGCGAAAATGTTCAAATCATAATGTTTCCATCTTAACGTAGTTATTTTGAGGCGCAGCTGGTCAAAGCAATGAGTGTTTCACTAGTTAGCAGCAAACCGTTACTTCCCCTGAATATGTTCGTAGATTTGTGTTGGATTCTTCGACGTGGAAAGCAGTTATTGAAATAAGGATGTTTTATTTGTAAACATTTTTTCCCGCTTATTTCAATTAACCAGTAGACTAAGCCAGTAGTAGTAACTTACTGACCATAGTATATATATAGGCCTATCTGACAGTGTCGCGTAAACATGGTTGAAGGCGCAAAAGGCGGAGGTATAGACAAACCGATTCAATTGAGTGAATCATTTACGCTGGAACCACTCTGCTTGATTCAAATTCAATCCCGTGACTTCGATCGTTAATTTCAAGCGATTCATTACCAAAAACCAGTTCAAAAGAGCCATTCATTTTCTAATTTCGAGATCGCAAAACACTCAGTTGATGGGTGAAACGAAGCTTTTCGAAACTCCCATTCTGTTAAAAATTGCGCAAAATGATTCAAAGCACTGCAATCGGGTCGCGTATTGCGAATCATTTGATTCGGGTTGGAACTTCGGAGCGGGTTCGTGAATCTGAGCGCCGAATCGATACAAAAAGGTGATTGTCTTCAGAAACATTTTTTGTTATGCTGGTTGAAAGTCTTTTCACATCCCGATAGCAATCCTCGCGCCAGCTTGTTAGAAGTGAGCTACGTGCATGAACTGTGTTCCGATCGATATGATCCCTACACAGTGTTCATTGCTCCCTACTCCCTGAGCAGGGGAAATACGTTGAAGTTTACTTAACTTCGGAACATGGGCTGGAATTTAGAACTGCTGATGTAGCCTATTGTAGTAATGTTGTCTCTGGTATTCTGGTCTGTGAGCGTATATGCGTTCAGGGGGCGTGGCTTTGGACGGTGATTGCAGGGAGGGTGGGACGTTCGCTTTCAGTGCTATCAGGCTAAAGTTAGCATTTTCCAAGATCTCCTACTGCACCTTTAAGAAAATTAACCATGGTTTTATAATGGTTAGTGTAGCAAAACCATGGTTAATTTGTGGTTAGCATGGTTTAACTATAGTAGCCTAACCATGATGTTTTTTTTTTGTAGTAAATTTACACCTTAAGAGGACACATAGGATGAATATAGACTAGAGTTGTAGTTTTGACTGCTTAGATAGTACTTCTCTAGATTAACTTCGAATAAAGAAAAGAGAGGTTTAGAGCAAGTAAATAATGTTTGTATATGTATGTGAAATTTAGCTAGCAGGAAACACAGCTTAATTAAGTTACATATTCCTCTATTCTCTTTTGAGCACTCAAACAATCCAAAGAAAACATCTTTAAAACAGAAAGAAAGGTCACTTACAAAATGAGACTGGATGCACATAAAAAAATAAAGAAACAGCAACTCAC